CTGTAGTTTTTCTCCTGTTCCTACCCACCTGGACCATGATGTTGTCACTGGAAGCAGCCTCCTGGGCTTCATTCACCCAGCGCTTCACCACATCATAGCTCATCTTCACCATGTGCTGAAGAATTGAAGTGGAAAGAACATTATAGTCCACCATGAAGGAAGTGAATAACAAACCTTTAATTGTGTAGAAATGTCAGAAAAATCTCAAGAGATTTTTTCTGAGAATAACACTGAAAGAAAAAAAAATGAGCCCAATTCATACCAGCGAGGAGACCAAAGCTGAACTGGACACACTGGGAACCTTGTCAACAATAGCCTGCTTCATGTATCTCTCAATAGCCTGCAGCATGGTCGTCTGTGGGGAAGACCGAAAAATTAAAAGATGCTTCAGTTTCTTACCTTAAAAACAAGACATTGATAAGAAAAGAAAAGCAATTTCCTCTTCTGAACAGAAATTAAGCAGCACTCACATCTGTAATCCTGCAGAGAGCTCTAATGGCAGGTCCTCTGTATACATCCTCCTTCCCAGTCATGTCTTTGGTCAAGCTATAAAATACCAGACAAGAAATAAATAAAGACACTAGAATGCCAAAAGAAAGTACACTATTGCAAAAATCATAATTTTAATCATAATTTTCTTTGCAAACAACTTCAAAATATTGTTCTCATCAGACTTTATACCATCAAATATTCCATTTTGCTAGTAATAATGGTTAAGAGGTGCACTGCTAGTACAACTATAAAACTGGTGTGCAAATACTTTTTGCTTATTTTTACTCTTCTGTTTTGTTTGATAAATAAGAAATCAGTATGTACATAAATGTATACATAAAAGCCATTTAATGAACAAACCTGCTAGTGACAATGATGACATCCTCAGAGATGTTGGCCATCTCTTTGATAGTTAGATAGCACATCCTCCTCAAAGTTTGCTAGAAGAGAAATAGCATAAACCTGAATTAATTAAAAAGAAATGCTTAGCCAGTTAATTAGAGATCAAATGAATACGGGGACCTCTTACATCATTGGACTGAAAGAGCCTGGTCATTGCAAAGAAAGCCTCAGTGGCCTCTGTGGTCCCAAAATGCTCTCCCTGTGTGAACAAAAATATGAGAATGAGAGAAGATGATGTCATGAACTCAAAGCCATACAGACAGCATAGTTTGTCTACCTTTTTTTTTTTTTTACCTGGTTGAGGAGATAGATAATCTTGGTGAGAATGTGGAGGCATCTTCTTGGATTAATGGGAGTCTCATTGAAGATGCGAGCCTGTAAACAAAAAACACACTTTTTATTTCAGTACACCGAATATTCTTTTCTTTGGTCCGTTTTTTTCTTTGTTTATTGTGAGCAAAGAACACGTTTTCAACAGCACTGATCTTAGGCTTTACCTCCTGCAAGACCGCACTCTTCTCCAGGTGCTGGAAAGGGTTTGACCCACTTCCTAATGAGTTGAAATAGTTGTGTTAGAAAAATAATCCATTAAAACTTTACTGAACCTTATTCAAAGCAAACATATATATGAAGGGGGTAGAGAAGAAATGGTCAATGAGAAACCATTAAGATAGAATCAATCCTGCTTTATATTAATTTGATCTTCTTATTAGCGTATGTTAGCTTCTGGATATCTGCAAATATCCAAACAGTCTTCCTTAACGTCAACAGAAACTGGTACAACTTCCATTCATATAAGTTGGACTTGGGAGAGAAATGACAACATCCAGCTGACGATGCTAATACGGTCGGCTAACGTTGAACTAAAGAAAACCGATGTTTTAGTAGCTGTGTATTTAAATGAAACGTCAACTCAGTTTTTGACACTCTCTTTAAACCATTATTTTAATCATACGTTTGTTTGCAAACCACATTTATCGCTCAATCGCCCTGACAGGTAGCGTAGGTTTACCTAGCTAGTGAGCTAACAGGCTAGCACCGCTTTAGCTTCCACAACATAAAGTCCAATCAAGACTATTCAAAGTTAACAACCGTTTAAAATTACAATTCTGCAGTCTTACCAGACTCCTCGTCTTTCTTATCAAATTTTTTAATCATTTTGAAAGCGCGAAGCTGACAGATGAGGCCAAAAGCAGCTCTCAATCTCGCAACGGATGAGAAGCTACTTCCACGTAGCCGAAGTGAAAACTGACGTCCGGTGGCAACGTCCACGTCGACGGAAACTACGTCAGAATATTTCCGCGTAATGAGCGGCAGGGGGCGCTTCTGACACATCTTGACGGTTACTCGAATTAAAAAGTCCCACGAAAACAATAACCCATGCATAATAATCCTTGTCCCAACCAAATTGCATTTAATGTATAATAATAAAAAAAATAAGGTATAAACAACTTGACACAACTTGTAGACCAAAGGCCCTTTTTCAGTCCTTTTTCACATTTTGTATTTTCACAGTCTTTTCTAAGTAGATTGAGTGAGTTACTCTAACCAATGCAACCCTATAGCTATATTACCTAAAGAAAATAAATTAATTTCAAAATTGCCTTCCCCTATTTACACAACTACATCTACCATGAACTTTCACAAGGGTTTGATCTCCTACCTTCGTAATAGTTTGATTATTATATAAATAGTGTAGTTGGGCAAAGATTTGAAAAATGAATATAGTACTAATATTACAAAAAAAATAAATAAATAAATAAATAAATACATTTATTAAAAAAATGTGACTTTTGAAACGTCAGGCAAGGTAGTTTTCAAAAGTTGCTTGAATTGATATATATTAAGTATGAAGGTGACTAATTTATTCAACAGTATTTTTAGCTACTAGAGTATTGGTAACAGGGCTGAACCAGCTACAGCACAGAACAACTAAAATATGTCATGAAAAGTTTACCTTTGCTGCCTGAGCTGAATAAACACAGCAAACACAAGCTCCATGAAGATCAATCTCAAGCTAAGCAGTTACAAACATATATCATAATCAGAATGTGACGATGAGGTGCTACTTCTGCAGGTGTCTCAAGTGTCACAGTATAAATAAAAACAAACAAAGTTATTCACGTGGTAAACCAAGTTCTAATTTTAGTATGAAGTAGTCAAGAATTTAGAAGAAGGTGCTGAGGTGTATCACAGTAGTCATATTTGATTTAGGAGGGTAATTGCACTTGGATAAAAAGGTGTTTTTTAATGTGTTTGTCCTTGTGTTAATTAACACGTAGTGTCTACCAGAGGGCAACAGGTCAAAGAGCAAGTGTCCAGCGTGAGAACTGTCTTTTACTGATTTTTCAGGTTCTTGGGTGGTATCTTACGTTTCCTATGCACGGTCAGGTATATTTTGTGCTGTTTATTAGCATCTGGACAGCCGTTATAACTGCTGTAGAGCATCATGCATACCACACTGTTCCACAGTACACCAGGATGCTTCTATAGTGGAGCGATAGAAGGTCACCACCACTTTCTAATCTACACAGGTCTTCTTCAGCGAGCTCGGGAAATGAAGGCACCACTGACCCTCCTTAACTGTAGTGTTTTACAGCCCTATTAACCAATAGGGGTCGCCACGGCAGATCATGTACCTTTCCTTCTCCATGTTCACCTTTACTACATCTTCTTCTCTGCGGTCTCCGTGGCATCACTACTTGTACGCTTTGCATCTTCACTGTCACACCTGTCTCCTTCTCATTCACACACGTGTCCTGTTTTTTCTCTCTCTCTCTTTAGGCTACCGCCCGTCACAAACTAGAATGTAGCTTTCATAAATGACCACAAGAGGGCGACATTATTCTTTGTAAAGAATGCTTTTCTGAGGCAGGTGAATTCAAAATCCAGATATGCCAATTTCTTGTTTGTTTTCTGACACACGTATTGCCCAGCCACATTATTATTATCCATCACTGCTTATTGCAATCTCCCAACTTCAAAATCCTGTCTATTTATAAATAGAAGACATAAAAGAATAGAAAGGTAGGGTGCCCTCTTGTGGTAAAGGCAAGCAATAGCAACACTAATTAAAGTTTATACCTTGAAAGTCTGTCCCTTAAGCATATGTTTGCACTGTAATGTACTACTTGCTGACAATATGAAGTGAGACATGAATATATCTATGATGAGACAAATTTGGGTGATACAGTGTTTTCATGAAGGTGTGTGAGTCGGGCTTTAACTTTGTGAACAATGAAGTAATGAAAAGATATATAATATAAATATATAAATATATAATGAATCTCAGTGATATAGTTATATCATATAAAGAGGCAAATGTATGTCGTTACACCTGCTTTATTTGAGGAAAAATAATCCTTTATTTTGAGTATAAAAATAAGAGACATCTGATGAACACATACATTCCCATGCAATTGCATTTTACTGTATTTCATGACCTTGCAGATGATTTGTACAGTATTTTTTTTTCTCAGTGTTGTTTTTCGGCCACATTCAAATTTCAAAACTTGAATCTGAATTCATACTTTTTTTTTTTTTAAACACAAAGCTTCTTAAATAAATAAATAAATGAAGAATGAAAAAGAAAAAGAAACACATATCCTGGAATTAAAAAAAACATTTCTCAGGACATCAAATTATTATTAGATTATGCAACAGTGCTGCATTTTTTTATATTTATTTATTTATTGCTTTAAGCAAAACGAGCTGCTTTGCTCATCGCGTCCAGTTATTTGAATTTATTGAGTCTGGGCAAAACAATCACATTAAACATTAATTTAACCGAAAAACCGAGGACGTGTTTTAGTCATTTTGTTTGTCTGCTATAACATAGTACTTAAGAAAGTTTGTAATTTAATATAGGGGGATTATTCGCACGTACAATAAATGCATAAATAAACATATTTAATGAACTAAAAGAAATCAATCAATTACTTTTAAAAGAAGGCAGCAACAGCTAATTTATCCGCTCATATCTTCTGTAACATTTAACCTTGGTTTTAAAACATTTTTCAGTAGTTATCTACTTTTTCATAAGTTCCCTTTCCTACGAATATATATATATATATATATATATATATATATATATAGTAAACGTGATTTGCTGTTGGAGATGGTCTCAGTGATTTGATGTGGAGAAAACAGGCGAACAGCTGAATTTAAAGCCTGTGTATTATTAAACACGGCATCGTTCCCCCGGAGAAACAAATGGATGTTTACTTGGATGATAAGAGATGCTAATTTATTAGACTTTGAGAGGCCAACACTGGTCATGGCTGTCTGTTAAATGAAAGTTGTCCATGTTTCATTTCCTCCGTCCAATTTGCGCCAGCAGACGCGCGTTCTCCGCCGCCTTGGCTCGCAGGTTTTTGGCCTTGGCCACATCAAAGAGCACGTTCATGATGTTGGTCGGGACGTCCAGGGACAGGGTCAGTCTGCTCCTCCGGTCCCCTTTGTTGCTGTTGCGGAGCATCTGGCCCCTGAGCTTGGTCCGACTCAAGAAGCGGTAGTTTGCGGGACTTGAAGTCCTTTTTTCCCGACTGGATTCAGCAGAGGAGAAAGAGGACGACGACGTGGAGGATGAGGAGGAGAGATACTCCGCGGACTGCATGAGGGACCCCCAGCCGTCCACAGTGGAGTAACCAGGCTCAGTTTGGTCATTCCGGACCCCGAGTGCCAGCTGGTCGTCGCAGAGGAGGTCGGGGCGCGTCTGGTAGAGACGGAGGCACAGGCTGGAGGTCGGTGTGCACAGGACCGAGAACAGCAGCAGGGTCTTTAGGGACGACAGCATGCTGTGTCCTCTGGGACCAAAACAGGTGAAGAAAGCCAGAGAATATGAAGTTTTTCTCGCATCTAATCTTCAGCAACGCATCTCAGTGAATTTCATTTTCACTGAGATGCAAAAATAAACCTTACTAATATGCCCATTCTGCATATTAATAGTAAATATTAACAAGTACCCTAACAAATCTTGTTAAAATCTACTCTAAGAGTACAGGATTTAGTTTAAAGTTCGATGGATCACAAAAAGCCGGGGTGGTTTTAATGTGAAGTTTAGCGGATAAAACTAAAAACAATATTTAATAAAGGTCACAAACGTGTGAGCAATAATGTTCGCGCAACTTACCACTCGTATCCTTTAGTTATAATAATATTTGTATTAAATATAGTTGGAGAGGTTAAGCAGCACTTATCCCCTCAAAGAAAGCGCAAAGAAGGCGAAATCCTCAAGTGAAGTTATTATGAGAAATCCCGATGAACCAACACTGTGTGCGGAGGTCAACAGTGCGCACAGTCTGACCAGCAGCGTCTCCTGCTCGTCCATTCCCACTGTATTCTTTTAGTAGAGCCATCAAAACGCAGCCCTACGCCAGCAACAACGTCATCCCGTTGACATTTTGGTTCGCAGTGAGCCATCCCATTGGCTGTGAAGCAATGAGGTAGATGAATGAAGAAAAAAAAAAGAAGAAAGTTGTGGCCTCCTGTTGGTGGAAGGAAGGCGTCACGACTATTGAAACTTTTTTTCTGCCTCGCATCAGACTTTAAAAAAAGTGTTTCAAGTGCAGCTGCTCCACGATAGCCTGCAAGAGTCCCAACATCTTTAAGCCATTCAGTGGCATTTGCGTGAAACTGACATGTTTCCGGTTGATCAGCACCACGGACAGCTCCCATTGATACGTTTGTTCTCAGCTGAGCGGATTTGACGCTTATCTCAGGCGCACGTGGCAGGATATGTTTGGGTTTTGGATCAATAGTTAAATGAAATTGTCTCACATTATAATATTAGGCGTGTCTTCAGAGGTTTCCCACTTACCGCTGTTAAAGCTGCACAAAGAGCGGATCCATTTATGATTTAAAGTAATTAAAAAGTAATGGTTGTAGTGATGAAAGGATGTTAAGATAAAACAGAGAGGATAACAAAAAAAAATCAGACCAAATTGGGTAGAGGATGGCGATAGAAAGAACGAGGAGCCAGCACAGGTACAGAAAATCAGACATCTAAACCTGCAGGCGTAAAAACCATAGGTGGGGCTGTCACACCGTGAGCTGAAAGAGGACTGGAAAAGTTGGATTTTCTTTGAGATGCTCTGCAGCCCGGGTCCAGAGAGAAAGTGTCATAGAAGGGGATTGATCTGGTTATATTCAACTATTAATGCCATTAGTTAAAGCGTATTAAGCCTTATTATATAAAGGTAGAAAGTGCGCACATTACATGCACTGTTAGATGTATGTATGTATGCACTGTATGTTAAACAATATCTTTCTATAATGAATATATCATTGTATGTTCATTATAGCGAAATGTAAACCTGTAGATTATAGAACAGGTCATAAATATAAATCTTCACTTTATCAAAGCAAATTTAAAGTCCTTCAAATACAATATTGTCTCTTTAGCTCATTTTATATATTCATTTCAACAAGACTAAGAACTGAATGAAGAAATAAAGGTGCAGAGTTTAAAAGTTTCCCTGCTCTTTCAGATGTCTCCATCGACATCAGTTTCACATCTATTAATAAAGAGATGAGCATTTGTTCCATTTGAAGTTTTAATAAGTTGAGTGACACCACATATAAAAACTTCTGTGCGTGATTCACAAATGTTTCTTCAAAAGAGACGAGAGATATCTGAGATTTTCTAGAGAGCACTGTGTTTTAATTACCGTTGAGTGTACACATGACACGCAGCAGAGTTGATGTTTATTACAATGTCAGAATGAAAAAGAGCATACAGGGGGAGACAGCATCAAAGGGCGCTGGGTCAGGGTCTAATGAGCAACTTCATTCACCTTCATTAATATGAATGTAAGTCTTCACAGCTGGAGTAATTGCGTTTCGTGACACACGAGGCAAAGAGATGTCCTCCCACTCCAGCTTCCTCCACAAGTGATCTCTGAAATGGAATTACATGCCCCCTGCAACATCAAGGGGGACAAAAATCCTACATTTATTACATTGACGCTGGTTTGTGTTGCTCTGCTTAGGAGTGAAGGCCTATTGACCACAAAGCACTTTCTTGCTACTGTTTATACTTACAGGTTAAAGGTTGAAAAGATTAAAAAACAGCTAAGTTGTCACTGAGCTCACAAGGCCTAAGAAAACCTTAAGTAGTGAGGCTGTCCTGCATCTGCATGTGTCTTTGCAAAGCAAGCTGTTTATTTTTCCTCATCTCTATTTGTCCCTTTATAACTGGATTGGTTCTAAAAGTGTAAATGTCGACATAAGAGTTTAGCAAAATCTACAAGAAAAAAATTAAATATGAAATTAAGTTTATGCTTAAGTTTTAATATTGCAAAAGAACCAAAACGGGACAGGCAAAAAAAAAAAAGAAAAAAAAAAGAAAGTTTTAATATTTCTTTTGCCTTGTGCTTAAATTAAACACTTTTAATTTCATAATGAGATTTCTTTATGTCTAAAAATATCAAGTAGACATATCAAGCATCTTTGCGTGTGGGTGTACATCAGAGTACAGAATCGTGACTAATATGAAGGAAGCCTCTTGGGGCTTGTCTCCTCTGTCAACTTGAAAAACACTATTTTTACAAACCAACCTGAAAAACAGATTAGAGATATGAAAGAACCGAGGAGCAACAACCTGGCAACTTGAGAGCCTAAAATGTGTCGTGCATTTTCATCTGTCACACTGCCAGAAGAGAAAAAAACAACAACCAAAAAACTTCAATGCGTGCTGCCCCCTCATCAACACCCACACAGGAATCCCCAGCTACTGCTGAGTCGGTCTGATGGAGAGTCCTCTAAAACAGCCCCTGCGTGAGCTCCCACACTGGGCCCCTGTTGGCCCCTCATCTGGCTCCCAGCCTGACCCATAACACCCCCTGCCAAAGAAACATATGTAGTGGTGGAGGAGTCAGCAGGCAGTCAGCTATCAGCTTCTCATTTCTGCACCACACAGGATGTAGGACGATTGACAAAACATAAGAAAGGTGACAGTTATATAAAGAGATACGCTACAGTGAGCTGGAAAATGAAAGAGGCTGGCATGAAAAAGACAAATCGTGAGGTGGATTTAAGATTTTTTTTTTTTCAGTAATGTTTATTTTTGGCACGTTTACATTCAAAATCTTTGTCAATGTCAGTCTATTTTGGTAACACAGCTGCAAGAAAACATACTTACATGTGTAGATGTTATGTGAAATTAAGAAAAAAATCATTCACATTTAGACTACATCACATCGCATTATCCATATATAACAAATTGAAAAACATCTGTTAAAATATATAAATAAGAGCAATGCAAAATGCAAAAACAATAACATTTTACACAGTTATGTACAAAATTACTTGTTTGGGGGTTGCTGGCTCAGTCTCCAAGGTTCTGTGGGTGTGGAGGTGTACATTTTTTTATAGCATCTATAGTATCCGCACATTCATATTGTATAACCAAAAATCTCTTCAAAGCAGGATTTCTTTTCAGTCACTGGATTAACTGTTTAAAGGATTATTCCCTGCGCGATCTGATTGGTCCCCCCACAACTCGACTCTCCGTCTCACACCATTCCTCGCACTCATGTCTGGAGGAGAATCTGTTTTGGTTGCCACCACAGCCCCCGTAAACAAACGGTCTGCATTCCCCCGATCGGGCGTGGAAGTACCAGACCAGAGAATAGTCTGAACAGGCTCCTTCTGACATCGGCTCCAAGCAGCGGTCTGTTAATGAAAGAACAGGTAGATGAGGAAAAGCGTAAAGCTGTCCTTCAAACTGACAGGCTGTGGAGTCACTCTTCTTCAGGGGTGGGGGAACTCCAGGCCTCAACGGCCGGTGTCCTGCAAGTTTTAGATATCACCCAGGGTCAGCAGATCTGAATCAAGTGTCTAGTTCATTACCAGACCTCTAGAGAACTTCAAGACACGTTGACGAGATACTTTAACCATTTAAATCAGCTGTGTTGGATCAAAGACACATCTAAAACCTGCAAGACACCAGCAATCAAGGCCTGGAGTTTCCTCACCCCTGCTCTATTTTCACAAGTGTTAGATTCTCAACAAAGTGCAGAGAATATGATTTGTTGAGTGTATACTCACTTTAACTACAGTTATGGTCAGAAGTTCACACACACATTTGAATTTAGTTTGGATTTTTCTGTCATCCAGGAAGGGATCAAAGTATACATGCAGGATCAAATATATACATATACTCGCTTAAATCTTTAAATAAGTGATAAGTTCTACAATGTCTTAACTTGACAAAGCCAAGGCCAGTTAAATTCTCTGTTGTCATCGCGATTGACTACAACTGGTAGTTTTCCCTGCTTAAAAAAAGGATTTGTTTGACACTACTGATTGGACTGATCAATACTAACAATGGGAAAGTCCAAGGAACTCAATGAAGATCTAATAAGGAGAATCTCTTGGAGCCATTTGTAAACAACTGCAGATTCCAAGATTGCCTCAAACATCCATCTTTTATATCCGGTCTTTAAGTCTGACGTCATTAGCCGTGTCTGTGCCCAAACTCTGCTGCAGGTCCATAAGTCAAACGATCACTGCGGCCTCACTGAGAGCTGAAAAACTGTCTAAATTCTTTCATCTGTAATAAAATTATCAGCGTTCTGCTCTACCAGGTGTAACAATTAAGTTTAACATCCATGCATCCATGAAAACAGAATTTATGACATTTAACGGAGTTAGACGTTAGCAGGGAGTTAGCTCGCTAGTTTCCATCTAAATATAATATAGCATGTTCTGACTGAGGGATTTCTGAAACAAATTGAGATGCACAGCTCTGCTATCACTTCCAACATAAATGAAGACAGAAAACTAAACAGCAGTGATGTTTTTAGGGTTACTGAAGTTTGGCTAGCCGGTATATAATGATGTGCTACGTGATCGCTAGCGACACAGCTATGTTAGCATAATATAAACAGTGAAGCTGGAGGAGGAACTCTAACTTTTTTCCACTCAATAAAAGTTAACATGAGGATTCTCGATGGTCAGAGACAAATGCAATCGCATGGGAGGATGCTGTAAACGGACCAAACTTCAGTCAGGAGAACAACTGAGATCATCCATCCACAATACGAGGTTAGTCATTAATAGACTGCTGCATGGGCTGGGCTGTAGTTACATGTAAGGTTTTAAAAACTGAGCTTTAAAATGAATAGCTGTAATAAAAACCGAGAGAGGCCGATAGTGATCACTGAGTGTTTTTAGGGGCTTTTTGAGATTAAATAGAACAAGATCCAAAGTATTAAAACATGTTAAATACAAAACAGCCTTGTTAAACGCAGGGTAGTTTGGGCCCAGAAGCAAGATTCATCATGTCATCACTTAAAGACCGGATACAGTTTATTTAGCTACTAGTGCTGACAATAAAGGACAGTGTAACTGATAATGATTACTATTTCTTTTTAAATTTATTGTTATAACTGATTATTAGTGCAAATTGTAGCCATATTAATCATACAGTGTCTGTTGCGACAACCCTAGCTGTAACTTAAACTTTATTTTCCTTCTGTAAGTGGAAGAAAAACCAATCCAACCCCTGGGAAATAAAACAGATAAAAAGGTATTCTGAAATGACTGAAAACTTGTTGTGGAAGCTAATATTTCTCCCAGGTTCTCCCAGGTCTATGTGATAAGCTAGACTACCCATCTATCATATTAAAAACCTTAACTGACTCTAACTCTCAGGAGGTGAAAACATTCGAAAAGCTCGAGTGTCTTTACTATGAAAAGGGTGTTGAGTGACATCAAATTTATAATTTTGTTTTGATACACAAAGCAAATAAAGGGAACAAGAGAGGGGGGAAATAGACACAAACAACATCAGTTTTCTTGGTAACTCACTTGCTGTGTTTCTTCCATATACCCTTCTCTTCTTCCTTTGTCCCCACTCCACAGTCCCTCCATCATGAGTATCTGAAGCCAGAAACAAAAGCAATTACTGATACACAATAAAGAACCACCTTCACTGGACATTACGAGTGCCAGTGACATTTTAGCTCATCCAGCAAATTAGTGAGAAACAGTTCTGGACCTTCCAATCATCAACTTTCTGTTTTTCGTGCCAACTATAAAGTACAAACTTTTGAGGGAATTCATATCCTGCTATCATTAAAGCTAAGCGATAAAAGGGGAAATCCAAAAGTATCATTAAAAAAATTATTGATAGAGCTGGAACGAACTTTGAAGCACTTCAGCTGTTTGTTCTACAAGGCCTGCTGTATTGCTTTCCCTTCATCTGGATTTATCAAACAACATCACTAATGTAGGGTTTTACTATATTCAGAAAGTGAACAATAAACACTCAGTTCTGAGAGAGACGCTTACATAAAGGAATTCTTCATCACAACAAATGATTTTTGCACGTGGATTTCATAAAAAGGAGGCTTTTAAAGAAATCAAGCACAAGCTAAACCCCCTGATTATAAATACACATGAAATTTAAATCACAAGTAAACTCAATAATACCAAAAGCTTAACATGTTAGGAGGAGGAGGTTACAGAGGAAGCTGCAGGAGGCGACAAACAGTTTGAGCACAAGTATTATGTCAACTATGAAGTCTACTCACCCATTTCACCTGCTGCCTCTGACCTTGAGGTCAAGGTCACTGAGATTCGAGCTCATATAAGAATTTTAGTAGATACACCTCTGGTATCAATTTGAAGCTCCTACGTTGCCCCATTCTACAATTATCACATTCACAAACTTAGGTGTCCATGCTGCCTGCCCACCTGGCAGGGTGACGACAACATCCCATCAGTCTTTAGCGACTGAGAGGTAAAAACAGTCGACCACTAGACTAATATGTGACGTCACAGTGACTAAGTAAAATAAATCTTCTACATACAGTTAACACTTACAACATATATTTGCAGGTGGCTAAAACACTGATTTTGTACAAATTAGCCACATTTTTCTTTGTTGCCACAGTGAAGCATCTGCCTCCATTTCACCCTATCCCGAGCAACTTTTTGTGTGACACCAATCTTCTGCATGTTCTCCTTCACTACACTCCATGAACCTCCTCTATGGTCTTCCTCTGTTCCTCTTTCTTCAGTATCCTTTGTCTGGTATGTGCTCTATCCCTCCTCTGCGCATGTCCAAAACCATCTCAGCCTTGCCTCTCTAACTTTGTCTTCGAACTGCTCAGCCTGAGCTGTCCCTCTGATGTACCCATCTCTAATCTTGTCCATCCTGGTCCCTCCCTAAAAAATCTTAACATCTTCAACTCTGTCACCTCCAGCTTACAGCAGGTCTCACTACCGTCTTGTAAACCTTCCCTTTCAGTCTTGCTGCCACAAATCACCCCTGGCACTCGTCTCCACCCACTCCACTTTGTCTGCACTTTCTTCTTCACCTCTCTTGTGCACTTCTACTGAGTTTGGATGGCTGACCCCAGTTATTTTAAACTCACCAATCTTCACTATCACTTCACTGTTATATCTGTCTTCCTCTCATTCACACACATGTATTCTGTCTCGCTTCAAGTGACGTTCATCACTCTTCTCTTAAGAGCATACCTCCACCTCTCCAGGCTCTCTTCCACCTGCTCCCCACTCTCATTACAGATCACAATGTCGTCATTGAACATCATAGTCCACAGTCCATAGAGACTCCTGCCTGACCTCATCTGTTAAGCTTTCCATCACCGCTGCAAACAAGAAGTGGCTCAGAGCCGATCCCTGATGTAATCCCATCCCCACCTTGAACCCATCTGTCATTCCAACTGCACACCTCGCCACTGTCTTGCTGTCCTTACACGTTTTCACTCCTTGGGCATCCTCTCATGAAAACAATCTGGTTTTAACACAAAAAAATCCACTACCCACTCTCCTAGACATCTGCATACATCCACAGGTATGCAGTCAAAAGTTTTAAATGTTTGTACTACAAAAGTAATAAAATATTTAACCCACATATGAAGAAAATCCTTCATTCGTGAGTATTTTTTTTTTTTTTACAAAAAGATGCTTCATTCCTTGTGAAGAATTTTATCCATTGAGTGCTCACAATCTAGCATTTCAGGACAGATAAGAAGAGCTATTCACGTGAGGTTTATAAGTTTATGTAAGTATCCGCTAGAGGAATATTGTCCATCTTAATTATTTGTTGTAAAACATCAGATTTCGTGCAACAAAACAAGTGAAGATAAACACCATATTTATTTAGGTGTGAATGCTGAGCCGTACTTGTACAATCATTATTTGGGGAACAAATGAGTACTATATTTAATGATTTAAATGAATAAATAAACCAGTTGACATTGACGCAGGGCAATGACAGCTTTGTGCTTTGATCAGCTGTCTGGTTTATGTACCTGAAGCAAGAATAACAATAATTTGGGATGCAGAAAGCTATTTCTGCCCGTGGCTGTATTAGCTAATAAGCATCATGGCATGTAAGATTGCTGGTACAAGCTGACCTTTGGTTTAACTTTGTGGCTTCCCTGTAATAGCGCTCTATTTAATAATTACTACATTTTGGTTTCCTTTTCTGTCCATTGCTTAGCCTTTTTTGGGAGAGCACTCACAGTGGTGAGACTGACAAGAAAAAATGGAAAAAGTAAGCTGGTATGACATCACAACACAGATCTCTAGATGTGTCTGAACTGAGTTGCAGTTCTGGGATATTTGCATCACTTGTAGATGTCCTAAAAGTTTTTTTAAACAAAAGGCACAGACCTGGTACATAAAGAAATATTACCTAATCACATCACCTTTAATCAGACATGTTCAGCATGTTCAGTGGTGCTTTTACCTTAATGTTTAACTAAAGAATGGATACAGTATCAGAGACATGTAGGCAGGCTTGTTTTCTTTGTCCTTGTCAGGACACAGCACATTTTAATTGCCTGCATCACAGCTGCTACACATAAGGTTGATATATGCAGCTATTTAGCCAGACACTTGGTCACACGCTATCTAAGGCATCTGTGTGTTTGGCCAGAGGCGCTGACCCTGCAAACAGCTACTTGTGTTTCTTACCAGTCTGGTTTTGTGGGTGCCCTTCTCCCATGTTGTCTGCCATGTTTTCTTCCATACTTTGTTCATGCAGGTCATGGGTGATAGATTTCACAACGTCTTTTTGGTCATTTTCATTCTTAGTCACTGCAGTTGTTGCATCTGGGTCAACAGATTTTACCATGAACTTGTATTCCAATCCTGCAGTGATAAAAACAGCATGACTTTTTTTTTTTTTTTTGCTAGGAATATGGGAAATAGCTAATACCTCTTTGGGAATCATCTTGTTGGGGCAGAAATACTTTTATCTTTTTTATGTTTGGATAATTCACAGTTCATGTGAAGTAGCTGACTTACATAAATAATTTCTTTCAAAATGGTCCCGTACAAGGACTGAACTGAAAATGAGTGATGAAGCAGCAAATGGACAGCCTGGAGAACTATCACTCACAAGGACTTTGAAACAATTACAAGCAAGTCTGGCTCCTTGGAAGCAAAGTATAAAGAAATGAGAGGTGGCACAAGGTTTTTGCACAGTACTGTATATATTTGTCATGCATCAAATTTAAGTAATTAAATTAGCCATAATACCATAGTTTAACTAGAATTCTAAGTATTTAAAATATTTTCTTTCATTCTTTATTTCCTTCAGCTCACTTTATTTATTAGTTTATACTTTATTTCCCTGTAAAGTGTTCCTATGAATATGTGGGAGTGCTATTGTTTAATAAAGACAAACAGCAGGAAACAAGAAAACAAACACATAAAAAACCCACACTATCTATTCACAGATTACACTCGGAACACTTCATAAATCAATAGACTGTTCCTTTTCTGTTATCGCATACAAAAATTAAATAATATTTAAGCAAATGAGACTATATTTTTACATCAACCACTTGTGGGTAATTAGCATGTCTGAGAGGCAAACCTGTGTTACCGTTACTAGTAGGCAGCAGGAAAATCCAATCCTTGTCAAGGATGCATAATGTAGTCTAGATATTATACAATAAATTCAGTTAAATTGAGTTTCATTTAAGATCATCTCAAATTGTGGTTTGAGTCACAGAGCTTTCATTCTATCTTTCCATATATACGTGTGGCATGCCAAAATGTCTTCAGTGAAAAAGGTGTGTTGCAGACAATCAGCCTCCAAATATCGTGAATGTGCCGTGGAATCTGGGTGAGGCATTCTACTTAATGGCTGTCTTGTGTTTGTGAATGGCTCTGCTGTTGCTGGCACCATGATGCGTGTTCCTCTGAGAGAACATAACAGATGGCTGAACACACACGGGTGCCATGCTGCTGCCACAGGAGCTCTACAACAAACAATCACGCGTTCGCAATATGCAGGTCTATCTAGAGGCACACGTTTATTCACTCATGGATGAAGTACAAGTGCACGTACTGTAGGAGGTTGAAAATGTACAAACGAATAACACGTGCGCACAAGCACACTCTTACCGCACTTTTCTACCACCTCCTGGTTGACTAGCTCCTTCACTTCTTCAGCCTTGAAACAAAGAAATGCAAGAATGTGAATAATTTAAATGACAAGTCAGTTTTTAGCCTTTTGTCACGTGTGAGTGTGCAAGCGTGCTAAGACGTACTGAGAGTCCAGGCTCTCCTTTCTCCCCTTTTGCTCCTTCAATACCAACTTTACCCTAAAAGGAAAAGATATTTACATATTATATTTATATTGGATGACAGATTCAGACAGTTTACTGACATTTGCACTGAAAAGTGATGAGACACAACAACATATTTGGACCCGCACTTCTCTCAAGTTAACATGTACACAATATTCAGTTAAGGAGAAGGGAGCCATGCAGGTAATTTCACTTATTTTGGCTTATTACACCTTTTAGATCTAACAAGGACTAAAAGTCATGTGAAAAGGAAAGTTTTCACAGCAAGTGTGACCACCTCTATTAAAAGGTTTTTAGTGGTGTGCCAGACTGAAAGCATTCAGGTGTGTGTTAACACAATGTCCACTTACAGAAGTGAACATCGCAGCAATCATGTGTTTTATTTTGGTGAACACATAAAATACAAAAATACGGATCTGGAGACTACAAGACTGAGAACTGAAAACATCCGTGAGAGAGAATATAGTGCCCTTAAATATGAGGTCACAAGCCAGTTTTTAAAATCAAATCAAAATACTTAAATCTCTTGATTGTTCTATTGCTGTGTGTTTTGCATGTGTTAAAAAACCCAGTTTGCACAGGGCTCTAGTTCTTTAAATGGAAAGAAAAAGTGACATTTACTGTCAATGCTAAACCATTTATTTGAGCTTGTGCACAGAATACATGAGAGTTCAAACACCGGAACAAGAGTGTTTTAACTGTGACCATTTAAAAAAAAAGTAGAGGTATGATTAGGCAAAAAGGTCTGTTACTACTGGTGATTTTTGAAGTCTGAAATTTGCATGTTGCAGTTTGCTAACACAGCTAATGTTATTCAGCTGATTTGGTGTGTCATTAATTGCTCTATGTAATGGTATCATGGTATTTGCAAAGGACTACATAGACACAATGACCTCAAAATGAAGGTTAGTAAGATAGCCCAGATATTAGTGCCTTTGGGACAGAGATTTTAAAAGAACACTGTTGGGCAGGATGTGTTTATTTAGCTACTGAGTATGACTATCAAAAGTCTCTTGCAGACAGACCTGCAATACTTTTAATGCTGTGCAAAATAAAGGCGCAACAGAACTAAACTAAAACTAAATAATTAGGCCACACTTTTACATGATCAATGTATCAAAAAACAATGTGCAACATCAAAGGGATTACTCATTAGTGACAAACAGACAACTCTTCAATCCACCACATCTAAACAGAGCCTTGAGCATCTTTTAATCTCTAATGTGGGCTGGATCTGTTTTGGAGACCAAACAAGAAAATATCTTAAAGAAGAGATAATATTTTCCTGGTGACCAGAAAAATATCTTCAGGCAGCCAATAATGTGTGTAATGCATTTTAAATAATTTCATTTAAATTAAACATTTCTAATGACTCTTTCACACTAGAGTAAAAATACAAAGACAAACTGTAACCAACTACAAGTAGTTGCAGCAACCAATCACAAGGTGATTGCACATGTTGAGGGAGGTAACCTGTCTCCAAACTATCCCAGTCTGACTTGCATTAACTCAGTCATTCTCAAACAGATTGTTGAAGGGTTGCAAATACAGTCCTGATCAGAAGTTTAAGACCACTTGAAAAATGGCAAAAAATCACATTTTGCATGGTTGGATCTTAACAAGGTTCCAAGTAGAGCTTCAACATGCAACAAGAAGAAACGGGAGTGAGATAAAACATTTTTTTGAGCATGCAATTCATCTAAAACAATGCTTAAACTGAAACAGGCTGTTTTACAGCTGGTCAAAAGTTTAGGACCACACCTCCAAAAACAACCTAAACCCCCCCCCCCCCAAAACAGAAATCAAAACATGAACTCAGTAATGAGTAGTTCCACCATTATTGTTGATCACTTCAAAAATTTGTTGTGGCATGCTTGATGCAAGTGTTTCCATGAGGTGAGTGGAAACTGCAAGCAGTGAAGACGGCCGCACGAGGGGCATCTACTCGATGGAGCTGGTGTCCATTCATCTTGTCATCCATCCCCAAAGGTTCTTATTTGGATTTAGATCAGGGGAACACGCAGGATGGTCCAAAAGAGTGATGTTATTCTCCTGGAAGAAGTCCCTTGTCCTGCAGGCATTGTGTACTGTAGTGTTGTCCTGTTGAAAAACCCAGTCGTTACCACGCAGATGAGGGCCCTCAGTCATGACGGATGCTCTCTGCAACATCTGGACATAGCCAGCAACTATAGTGTTTGATGCCCCTGCACCTCCTGACACCCCATTGTTCCACTGATGGAAAAAGCACCTTAGACCATTATGGCGCCCCCCTCCACTGTGGCGCGTAGACAATATCTCAGGTGGGATCTGCTTGTCACGCCAGTATCATCAATGTTAAATTCTTACTCATTAGAGAATAAAACTTTCTTCCCCCTTTCAGTGTCCCATGTTTGGTGCTCTCTTGCAAAGTCCAAAGGATCATTTCTGTTGCGTTCAAGGAGACGAGGCCTTTCAAGACATTTTTTTGTTTTTGAAGCCCTTTAGTTTCAGATGCCGTCTGATGGTTATGGGGCTGCAGTCAGCACCAGTATGGCCTTAATTTGGTTCGAGGATTGTCCAGTGTCTTGACGGACAGCCAGTTAGATTCTCCAGCTCAATGCTGGTGAAATTATTTTCAGGTTTTCCACTTTACTTTTTTGTTCCATAACCCCCAGGATCATTTAAGAAATTCCAAATGACTGTCTTACTGCGTCCCACCTCAGCAGTGATGGTGCGTTGTGAGAGACCCTGCTTATGCAGTTCAACAACCCGACCACATTCAAAAAGGAAATGCCATCAGAACGTCATGACTGTGTGACTATCTGACAAAAAATGACAATGAATCCACATTTTTGCACAGATTTGGCCTTTTAAAGGCATGTGGTCCTAAACTTTTGATCAGCTGTAAAACAGCCGGTTTCAGTTTAAGCGTTACTTGCAATAAATTGCATGCCCAAAAAATATTTTGTCTCACTCCCATTTCTTCTTGTTAAGATCCAACCATGCAAAATATGATTTTTTTTGCCATTTTTCAAGTGGTCTTAAACTTCTGATCGGGACTGTATCTATCATGTAATTTAAAAACATAAGCAGATTGACAGTCTGCATCGGTGAATGCAACTTTTCAGTGATTTTGCTGAGTGCCTATGTCATTTTGCAGTTAAATTACCGTACTGCAACAGCTACGTCACTATTTGCGGAGGAATTTCTGTTTCAGATCTGAGGTTTTTATTCGACTCTGAATGGAAGAAGTAAATGTGAATTTCTGTTTAATGTGAATTTCTGTGGATGTAGACAGCAACAGATTTGCAACAGATGGCAACAGATTTGCCATTTTCCCCAATTTATCACACTTAATCGGCATATTATCAGAAACAGATGCTTGACGCATTCAACTGCAAACTGATAGCAGACCGACTCTGTCTTATTGCTGTTTAATTGCCATCTTTATGCACCGAAATCTCTTTGAGGACAACAACCATCGCAGACCTCGTCCCCGTCTTCTAAGCAACCTGTTTTCCTTAATAGTACTTCAGCATTGTGTTTTATTTTTGCCTCCCAAGTTTAGCCAAAAGTACTAAACACAGATTCTGGCAGGAGAAACACACGGACCCTGTACCACCAGTCCGCGCAAGCAGCAATGTGGATGGTGTACTTTTAAATGAATATTTATGTTGTTTATTATAAATATAAAGCAAATTATATACTTTAGCTCTGTGAAAGTTACAGGAAATAGTATAGATGAAAGGATGTTTCTGAATTACAAGTGTGCTCGAAGAAAGCTGTGTAGAGATGTGAGTGCTGTGTGTCTCACATTTTCTCCTCTGTGTCCTGGTGTCCCTGGTGCTCCACTCTGACACTTCTTTGATCTGCCTCTTTTACCGCTCTCCCCCTGTTTGACCAAAAAATGCAAGTGCACACATGGAAAATATATATTTTTAAATACAACACCTCTAAATCATCAACAACAAGAAAATATGTCCATAGCAGCACACCTCATCACTCACTTCTAAACAATATGAAAGATGGACCAATTAGGCACATCCTTGGAATATCCTCATTAGAGGTTTCCAGCCACTCTCTGTCAACACTGAGAGTCCAGTAATTGTAGCTGAAAGGAGCTAATTGAGTAAGATATTACTTGAAAGCTGCAGACAGAAATAGACCTCTCAGTGTGTGTGTGTGTGTGTGTGTGTGTGTGTGTTTTAATTGAGGACATGTCTCTGCTGTATCCACTGCTGGTGCCACTCTCTTACAAAGACACGGTGATGACTGTAATCAATTCAGCTCCTGCTCATTGTGTTCTGTCACATATTTAGTCTTCTCTTGTTGGGCTTTAAAGTCCAAAAATGTATTTGTGAGTAAGTGATATAAGCTATGTACGCACAGGTGCCCGTTCTTTCCCATAAATGGACTACCAATTTAGCGAACCTGCTAAATTAAATAAACATATACATTATAAGACTCTGATAGGGCATATACTTATAGAAATATGTTTCCCTCAACTGCATACTTCATTGCATATTTGTGTCTTTATGTCTGGAGCCTCTAATTTAGCCCCATGGCTTTTTAGTGCTGCCAAGACAAGTTTTTGTTACGTGACTATATTGTGACTGCATCATTTAGTTAAAGACTGTAGCATTCATGTTCAGTTTTTATGTAAAAACATACCCCATTTAAGTAGTGATCAACTACTCCACTAATGCGTGCCAGTCTTTAAATAAAAAGTTCATATCTGTTGATAAGTTCTAACTTTTGGCCCCGATATTGTGTGATGACAGCTTGTAGAGGGCATCTCATGAATATCACATTTCTTAAAGACAAAAGTGACGATTCTGTATGACGGTACTGATGACACACGTAACTTGTGAATAGGTGCTTGGAAAAGTAAAGACAGCGCTAGACTGCTTTTAATTTGTTATCATGAGATAATGAAGTCGTGATCAGGGGAACAGCAGGTATCTTGGAGATAATTAGACTGTGTTATTAATAATGAGCCTGTGTTTCATCAGCAAGTACAAGTACCTAAAGAGCTGGGCATACTGTACCTTAGGCCCTTTGTCTCCTTGGGGCCCTGGCAGTCCCAGTGGTCCCATATTACCGTCCCTTCCTGGACTTCCTGCTGACCCCTTGAAACCTGGGAAACCTGGGAAACCTGCTGCACCCTGAATTCATTAAAAGAAAAAAATTGATCACAGTGGCTAAACCACTGTAAAGCTACATCATTATATAAATATAAACAGATTTCACAATCTTTTAATAGGATATAAAAATTAACTCTAGGATAAAAAATCACAGGTCATATGGCTTTGAATTGACAAACCTTTTCCCCTTTTACTCCAGGATCACCATCAACACCATTGATTCCCCCTTCTCCCTTGTCTCCCTAAAATTTCACAAAATGAGAAACAGTAACTGATTTGTGTGTGTGTGTGTGTGTGTGTGCTTGGGAAATTAGTAGGGGAAATAAAGGCACACTTAAACGCTTACCTTGCGTCCCGTGACCCCATTCAATCCAGGTATGCCCGGGGTGCCAGGTAACCCCATATCGCCCTGTTTTGCAGGGACATATATGGAGTATGCATAGAAAATTTTTCACATAGCACCGCTACATAACCTAACACAGCTCGCTAATCTAATAAGAATCAAATTAAGGGATAACCTTTTCTCCATTCAGGCCAAGGCTCCCAGTGCGCCCAGGAAAACCTCTGAAACCCTGTAAAAGAAACACATCACTTAATTCATTAAAACACAGATACACAAGCAGGTGACAAATTAGGAAAAAGTAATCGATGTGAAAATGGAAATTCTTCACCTTCTCCCCTTTCTCCCCTTTTTCTCCTGGTAAGCCAGGTTCTCCTGGATCACCCTATGGAAAAAATAAAAGAATGACAAACTAAATTACCTGTATTTGAATGTTTAGAAATCAAAGGTGCTGTCAGTAGTTATAAACTGCTCATTAGAGTACCTGATTACCCTGTTGTCCTTGGAGTCCATTGTCTCCTTTATCCCCTTTGGCTCCATCCAGCCCATCAGCCCCATTGCGACCCTTGAATCAAATTAAATTGTTATTATCTCACTTGATCACATCTTAAATTAATACTGAATATTGGCTTTAAATGCCGTAGACGTCAGTACCATCACTCCATTGACTCCAGGATCTCCTGGATCTCCCTGCAGACAATCATGACAATTTCACACACAGAGCTGCCAGAAATGAGTGTTTGAACTAATGTTGATGCCTAACTTACTTACTTTTTGTCCTACTGGGCCCCGTGCTCCAAATTTTCCCATTGCACCTTTTATACCTGCATTACCTTTTACACCCTTTTAAAAACAGTTAATTTGTTAGATTTTAGATGTTTTTAAGCAAGACATGATTGGTACTACACTCTGTAACCTGCAAACTTTTCCAAACTCTAAACAACTTTGTATCTGAATTCATTACCTTGACCCCAGGAGGACCGTCCTCGCCTTTTTCTCCTTTATCGCCGTCAAAACCAGGTGAACCTCGCTCACCCTGAAACAAAATGCCCGCACATTTCTTCATTGCTAATTTATTAAGCTTTTTTGTGTAATTTCACACACATTTTTAAAGCTTACAGCTTATATTTTCAGCTCTTTTTATTGTGTATGTGTTAGATGGCTTGAGTTGTTTCAATATGTTTTGTACTGAAACTCATTTTAGTGGAATGAGTAATAGAAAAAAAGTCAGTGGGATCTCACTGGCTGTCCTTTGGAACCCTTATAGCCACGAGGTCCTTGGATTTGAAGCACACTGCCCTGTAGAAAGGAATTCAGTTGTACACTCAGTATGAAACTAATGTAAATACAGCTCATTCAAAAATAAAGAACACCCTCTTTCAGTTTCAGCCTTCAGCACAAAAACATCATATTCGTGTCAAGCACGGTGGTGGTGGGGTAAGGATTTGGGATTGTTTTGCAGTTACAGGACCTAGGTACCTTGCAGTCATTGAGTCAACCATGAACTCTGTTGTATACCAAATAGAGATAGACTAGAAATAGGCTAGATTCAACTGATAGGCCATCTGTCCAACAGCTACCCAGTTGGCCAAAACTGGGTCATACACCAGGCCAATGATCCCAAGCACAGCAGCAAATCTACAACAGAAGTGCTGAAAAAGAAAAGAATCAAGGTGTTGCAATGGCTCAGTAAAAGTCCAGACCTCAACATGACTCAAATGCTGTGCCAGCACATTAATAGAGCTGTTCTTCAACAAATATAGTTGGTTTTTCACATACTACTTTTGCAGTCTGGCTTAGTATGTGTTAATATATGTCAAATAAATAATGGTACAGTGTAACATTTCAAGTGTTGCTGTTCATCTGAAATTGTATTTACATAATATTAAGACCTGCAGAGGAACTAATTATTTTTATAATGTCCTTTCTAAGTTTCTTTGGCTGCTCTTGCTGCAGGAGATGGCTCTGTGTATTATGATTTGGCACATTTTTACACCCAATGGGCTTCCCGATGCAGCCCCCATGGGATTTACGTTTCCTCCTGGTCCTGTACTGGGGATCTTTTGCATTGTTTAACAAATGTGTAAACCACTACAGTATGGAGCCACACACATAAAGCCTATCTATGTATACATAAAACCTTGGAACTGAAAGAGGGTGTACTTTAATTTTAATATGACAGTATATCCACAGATACAGTAAATACAAAGCTGTAAAGTCAGAAGAGGTTACTCTCACAAGGATTAAGGATTAAGTTCCAACAACAGCTGTATTTTAAAGAACAACTTTATTCTTTGATTATTTGTTTGCGGAATTTGATTTAAAAAAAATCTATATTACGAGTATTACTGGAACTTTAACCTGTATAAAGCTGTAAATCTTACATATGTCTTGTTTGACACACATTTTTTCAATGTGTTTAACCACAGAGCAAGACAAACTCATTATACCCTTTCTCCTTTGACTCCAGGTGATCCACGATCTCCCTAAAAGAAAACAAAACATGATTTTTAAATCCACTTTCAAACAGGATGATTTCAATTTCAATTTCAATACAAGAAAAATGCACACACATTGTAGTAGTTCTAGTATAAAATGTGTTGAACGCTAGTTCTGCACAACATGATGAGATTTTAATGGTTTTAAGAATGACCGTCATAGATAATAAAATCATCCAGCAAAACTTTAGTTACGACACTGTCTGAGAAGACAAACAAATATGAATGCAGGCTGACCAACAAGTGACACCACTTTTAACACAGCCTGTACCCACTGATACTTAAAAACAAACGGGAAATTACAATTGCAACATAAATGTGCCTGTAATAGAGCAGAATATTTACATCTTAATGTCAGTGAGTCATGTGCAAGTAAAAATAAATCGCAAGCAGCTGTTTATTGATGTTCGGGCACCTGAGAATTATAGCAGCTTCATGCTTCATGCACTCGTTTAACAGAAATCCTCAGGGTAAAGAGAAAAACATCCAGTCACTCATTTCACTGCTTTGGTTGCACAGATAAAAGCAGCGAGTACTTATGCAAATATATATGCTCGCTATCTTGTTCCATTACAACATGCTTATGTCGCAGATAAACTGAGTCCATCTATCCTCTCTGCAGTCAACAGTGATGGATGCATGAATGGAAACATTGTCCTAATATGCACACTGTGTGTCTCTTGCTGTAATTATACATTGTTAACAGTTTTAGTGCCGATAAGAAACAAAGATGCACATCAACTTAAATCATACTTTTTGACTCTACTGTGTTTCTACATAATTTTGAGGCGCTTCAAGCAACATGACAGCAATTTCAGTTCACTGTATTTCAGAGCCTGGTAAGCTGGACGCAGCATAGCCTGAGTGCCGTTTGCATGAAGTGCAACAGAGTTTTCAGTTTGCACTTGGTGCTATAGTCCTTTAAATATAAAATATATGTAATTTTCTATATTAAAGTCTCATTAGCTGTAATCTAAGATGTCTAATAAAAAAAAATATCAGAAAATTGATTTAAAAAAGACGAAGACAAGAAACGTCATTGATTCATCAGTCATGGCAACAGCTCACCTTTTCACCTCTGCTCCCACCCAGTCCTTTAGGACCCTGTTTTTATAAGAAGGGTGAAAGATAGTGTATTTTTTCTCCTATGTCATTAAGGGTTTTATATAAAACTTCATGCTCAATTGTGTTGTTTTGAAAAGTCGCTTACTATGGGCCCAGGAGCTCCTTTAACACCTGGAGAGCCCTTGTCACCCTGAAAAGAAACATTTTCCTGCATAAGCAAACATGACAAAGCTGATTTTTTTGTGTGATATTATAAAAAGATTAAAAACTACAGTTCCTGTCTGGTCTAAACATCACCAACAACATAGTCACCAAATGTCAAATATGTAAAAAGGAACTTACCCTTTTACCTGGGAGGCCAACTACGCCTCTCTCACCAGGTTCACCTGGTATACTGTCACCCTGGTAAAATGAAGAAGGGAAAATGATCATTTCCGATGTGGCAAAAACTCCATAATTGTAGTATGAGGCAAAATAGATTTATGTTAAAATAACAATAACACCATCCTTTAAGTTTGACTTACACAATGTGCACAATATTAGTACTTACCTTTTCTCCTTTTTCTCCAGGTATGCCAGGAATACCCTATGAGGGGGTACCAAAAGAAATTGGACTCATTTTCAGCCAGCAATAAAACAGAGAGAAACAAAAGTATAAAATGGAAAACAAAATTGTAACAAGCAGTGATTTTTAGCGTAGAAGGTTGGCATAGAAATAAACAACCTAAAAGACAGAAATGATATGTTAAGTTTTCTATACATGAGGTCCTGGTGGTCCTCGAGGTCCAGGAGATCCTGGGGAGCCATTCTTCCCTCTTTTACCTCGGCTGCCCTAATATCAACACAAACATCATACCTCATCATTATTATTTAAGCAGTGAGGTAATACTTATAACCTCCTCTGTCTATGCCTCTTCTTATTAATTCATTCTCACAAAGATTCGAGAGAATCTTTGTGAGAATGAATCTTCTCTCGAAGATTATTTCATTTGTTAGATTATTTCATTTATTATATTGTATTGGCATTCAAAAGAGTTTAAGGGTCATTGTAAGATAATGTAATGGTGACATACCTCTCTACCTGCCTCTCCTGGGTCCCCTGGAAGACCCCTAAGACCTGTGGGACCCTGGATGCTTGGATTGCCAGGGATTCCCTGAATGCCCTGAGCACCTGGAGGACCTGGCTCACCGGGCTCACCCTGAGGCAACACCATGGCAGAAAATAAGGATACAGGAAAAAAATTAAAAAAAATTCAGTGTTTGAAGATGAGCACATCATCAGAGGTCACTTGTCTCTTGTAATGTTGTTATTCAGCTTTTCTATTACTTTTGAATAATTGCTTTGAAGTAAGGTCCTTATTGCCTTTATCAAATTAAAAGCTCAAACATAATTTTGAATGAGTCACTGAGTCAATTAAATACTCCAAATTAAAAGTGTGACGTGAATCAAAGTCATTTAAAGTGAATGCTATGGAAGTTTGTGGGGGCTAATTAATTTACTAGGACATGTGTGTGTGTGTGTGTGTATATATATATATATATATATATGGAGAGAGAGAGAGAGAGAGAGCTCTTAAATGTATTTTACAGCCCACCATTATAAGGTCTATGCTAACCTAAATTAAAACTATTGGAGCAATTGCTAAATCCACTTGTTATGTTTTTGTAATGCTTAAGCCACCATTATGCACAAACTCTTTAATCAAAATGATATTTTGAATGCTAAAATATAATTATTGTTGTTGTCCAATTTTCAAATGTACTGTTTTACAAAAAAAAACATGAAAAATAGTAAAGAACATCATTATTTTTCTGATTAAGATGACAAATTGCAGTTCATTAGTTGCATTTCTAAACAGAAAAATCATTTAGTGCTTGAATGTCCAGCATGCCAGCTCAAATTTGGATATTAAAACATTTCATTTCATTCATTAAAAAATTCATTTTGAAATTCTTTACTTCAGTTTAAACTGGTAAAATGCTCACTGAAAGGGAATGAGTCCACATTAAAGTATTTCATGATGCTAGATGTGGTCTCTTAGACACATAAGACACGATATAATCTAGCGGATTCAAAGACAGATCGCACAAGAGTTTCATCCAAAGCAAGTCCGTATTAAAACCTGGAAACTATTTGGAACTCAACGAAAAAAGGGACAAGTACATAAAAACAATGGCATCAAGAATGCAAGCTGTTATCAAGACCAATGGAGGCCATACAAAATATTCGTTTTTTAAGTTATGTTTAAAAAGAACTTTGTTTTTTGTCTAATAAATAACGATATAATAATCTAATAATGTAATAACATTTTTTTTAATAAATTTCTAAAATATTAGTATTTTTATGTTTTTATGACAGGTGGTCAAATAAATGTATTAAGACTTTTAGTTTAACTGGTGTACAGACCAGTAACCATCAGTAACCACCCCCCCGTATCTGCATTACAGCTATCAGCTAATGCAGTTTATGATATTAAAAGGTTAAAAGGCTGGTTGATTAAACACTTATGTTATTTATTATGTTAGCACACTTGAAACAGTTCTGACAGTCAGTCTAATAAAATTAAAATCAGTCTTTAAAGTCCCCATAAGGGATGAGCGGAGAAATAGAAATTTCACCTTCTGTCCAGGAGGACCAGCCTGACCCTCTGGCCCTCTGTGACCGATGCCCGGCTCCCCCTAAAAATAACAAAACAGATGAACACATCTGCGCAGTCACCATCATTAAAATTTAAAAAGCACAGTTAAATCTTTATATATTTACCTTCTGTCCGTTTTCACCAATTTCGCCCTGAAGAGTGCATAGAAATGAGTTAGAATAACGCAGTGCACCGTGACACATCCTTTTCATGTGCCAAAATAAACTAACTCGGAGGAATTTGAAATTTAAAAAAAAAAAAAAACAGGACTTGTCAGCATGTTTAACAAGGGGAATTATTAATGTCTGCTTTAATCTACTGTCTCAAAGTCATACAGAAATAGAGCAGGAGGGACATCAAAGCCCTGGACTCAACCAGATTCAGTGACAGGCGAGACGGGAGAGAAGCTCTCCCTGAGCTCTGATGTCATTTACAGATGCAGTGTTGGGAGGAGGGGGAGCATCCATGATATTTTTATGAACTGGTGGAACATTTCATGTGGGGACATGTGTCATTCTTGCTTTGTGATCTTAAGATGATAATAAAAATAATGCTTGAAATCAGTGGGAAAGTATCAGAGACTCGGTCATTTCAGCATAGATATCTTTTATTTTAAAGGGTTGGTTCAAGGTTGATGTTGCTTTTTTGGGCAATATTTATCACTAGGATGGAAGAATATCAGTCACACACAGCTAACAAAGGTATAAACTAGCTAGCAACTGTGGCAACAGTGATGGATCAATGACTCTTAACAGCTAAATAAATAATAATAATAAATAAATAATAATAATAAATAATACTATTTTTTTCTTGCAAGGCTTGAGCCACCTGTTGCAAATTTTGATGGCTTTTTCCCCTTTTTAATCAATCAGTTTTATCATAACATTCAAAATCTTGTCACCTTTTGTCCTGGTTTTCCATTTTCACCTGGCTGTCCCTGTTGCACAAAAAAGACAGTCAGTTATCATCATCATGTCTATAAAGAGCTAATTTGTAAAACAGTCATTGAGCATTTCAAGAAAAGTGTAACATGTTTACATTTTACTCTTTTGCCCTTACCTTCAGTAAATAATACCCTGGGGGATATGGGTACGGCAGTCCAGCTTCTTCATCGTAATTTCCCTCTCTCCTCCTCTCCATCTCCTCCCTCATCCTCTCCCATTCCTCCCTCTGCCGCTCCAGTTCTCTTTCGCTTTCCATTTTTTCCCTCTCCTGCTCGGCCTCCCTCTCTTTCTCCAGTTCCTGTCTTTCTCTCTCCATCTCCAGCCGATCCCTCTCTCTCTCCATCTCCAAGTCCTCCTTTTCTTCTTCCTTCTCTTGATCTACACCTTCCTCTGTCTCCCAGTCATTGTCTCCACTTCTCTCCTCCTCCTCATAGACTGGATCAGGGACTGGTTTTAAATCAGGCATTAACTCTTTCTCTTTTTCCATTCCCCAATCTTCCACTTCTGCTTTTGTCTCTTCCTCTCCTCCACCTATTGTTTCTGTGGGAACCTCTGTCTCTGTATCGATGTATCTCCATCTCTCTCGTGCTTCTTGTCTCTCACTCCGGCTGTGTGTCTGAAGGCCTGGATTTTCTTTTTCATCCTTCTAAAAACACAAATCAGTGTATTTGTAAGTCATCCATCCATCTGGATTTGGATAAACACTTGACCTCTACTGTTGAAAACAGACTTACGCTCCAGATTTTGTAACCCTGAGCTCCAGAGGAGATGTGCTGTAATTTAAATGAGTACAAAGCAAAACTTTTTTTAGATGCAAATTGATTTTAATTTTTTAAAACATGGAACTATCAGATGAAAATTAGTACTTGCTGTGTCTTCTTAAACCGATTTCGTCCTCCTGGGGCACCTGGCATGAACGCCTAAAACATACAGATTTTACTTCATGATTTAAAAAAATATATATCATTCATTAGTCTTCTACAAAAACAGGTGATGCTTACCATGGAGTCAGGCCAAAATGTTCCTCTTTTCACCCTGATTTCAGGTTGAGGCACTTCCATCTCCCACAGAGCCTTCATAAGCAAATTTAGCAAATCATTTATGATGATTGATGTTTATATACTTTGTAAGTGCTGAGCCACCTCTAATTTCTTTATATTGTTTGAGGAAAATGGGAAACAAACATGTGCAGGCATACACAAAAACACAGCATCTGACATTGTGTTTTCAGTTTGTACAATTCTTAAAAAGGTGAAAGTCCATTTGCTATTACCATCTTTATTTTTTAACACAGCCAGAAATTGTCCAGGCTTCTGGAAGAGCATTCAAAGCTCTTCTTTGAATATTTACTGTCTTCAACAGGTCTGGGCTCTGGGAAGGACAATCGTGACTGTTTGCCAATCAGAAACTTTCCTTCTGATGTTATTGCATAGTGGATCAAAATCGGACAAGGTCACCAGTGGCTGAAATGCAACCCTAAATCCACCATGTTTTACAGATGGCTGTAGATATTCACTGCTGTACTGCTTTCCTGACCTCCTCCACAGATAATGATGATTACTTACCAAATATTCTAAAGTTTGTTTCATCTCTTAATCAGACCTGTTGTCACTGGTTTTCAGTCCAGTTCTTTGCCATCCTCCCTTAAGAATGGCTTCTTGCTGATGAGGCTTCAGGTGTTGGTGGGGGTATAGCTCAGTGGTAGAGCATTTGACTGCAGATCAAGAGGTCTCCAGTTCAAATCTGGGTGCCCCCTTCAGATATACTCACTGCTTTCTTTGTTATTCTGAACTACTTATTTACTTCCACGAAACCAATTCTTTAATCATGCTAGTATTCTGTTGCTGCTTTTCTGTATTTATTATGTTGATGTCTCTTTTTTCCCCTTTGTGCAATATTTTGGCAGATCTGCAATTTCCATAGTCCTTCCACCCTTACTTATTATTTATTGTATTCTAGTGTACATAGTAGGACAGCACGGTGGTTAGCACCGTGGCCTCACAGCAAGAAGGTCCTGAATTCAATTTCTCCATCGGTCTGGGGTCTTTCTGTGTAGAGTTTGCAAGTTCTCCCCCGATCCTCTGGCTTCCTCCCACAGTCCAAAGACATGCATTTAGTGGGATTAGGTTAATTGAAAACTCTCAATTCCCATAGGTGTGAATGTGAGGGCAAATGGTTGTCTGTTTCTATGCGTTAGCTCTGCGACAGTGTGGCAACCTGTCCAGGGTGCCCTAAGACAGCTGGGATAGGCTCCTGCAACCCTGAAAAAAGGATAAGCAGATGGATGGATAGTGTTCCTCTATATTATCTTATATATCTGTATATTGTCTTTTACTTTCACACCTTGTGGTCTTGTTACATAATTTCATTGTGCAAGCAACTGTACAATGACAATGAAAAGTTTAACAGATGGATCAACTGAACGACCAGGTGTCTTTGCTGGATTTTTCCTGATTCTTAAGGACACGACTTTCAGATACAGACATCTACTGCATAGTGTGTGTGTGCATGTGTGTGTTTGTGTGTTTCTTGTCCGGTTTCTCAGAACACCCTGCACTGCAAAGATATGCAGGTTTTTAACTAATACCTCTTCGGGAATTATCATTTTATGTATATTCAAATTTTGTCAAATTCAAGATACAACGCTGGTTCACCTCTTGAGTTAGGTGCTATTTTATGCTTGGATAATTAACAGTTCAGCGTGAAGTAGCTTAACAAGCAAATTTTAAAAAATGCATATTAAGGTACAAGACTACACTAAAAATGAGTGAAAAAGCAGTCAATGTCCAAAGAAAACCTTTACAAGAAACTTCAGAAAGCCATGAGAACTATTGCTCAAGAGGACTTTTTAAAATGAGAAGAAAGTCTGGCTCCTTGGAAGCAAAATATAAAGAAATCAGGGGTGGCTCAAGACTTTTGTGGAGTACTGTACGATGAGAAAAAAGGAGGAAGACACAGAGTTGTTTAGAAAGTCACTTTTACTTAAGCACACATGCACAGAGAGGTTAAACACAAACAAACACAGACAATATAATTATAAAGATAAATTTCACCAGCGTAACAAGTGTTTGATCTGGCTACATATGTGTTTATAGTCAAACTAGATTCTAAATATTATCTATGGTATTCACAGGGTATGGTAAAGTAAGAAACCCTTAGTATTTCCATGTTTTAATAAATAAAATGTCTGTATTTCCTGAAGTATGTATGCAAATTGTTGTCATGTTTAAGAAAACTTACTTCTATTTTATTTACTGAAAAATACTTGTCATAAATAAATTAGGAGTTTCTGGCAGGGTAAGTAAAGCTACACTGGTTTTTACACTGACCAAGCTTAAAAAAATACAACCTATATATGAGGACAGTTTTCAGGTGCCTAATTTTCTATAAGCCACAACAAGAGAAAAACACTCTGGTATGGTATACGGTATTTTTTGGTGAATGACATTGTCTCTGTGCGGAAAGAAGTCCCCTCTCATGAAACGACGTTGTTCAGGGTTCATCACCAGAGAAAACGGTTCACAGTTTATTTGCACTCTCCGTGTAGTGCTTTCTTATGAATGATTAAGACTCTATAGTCTCAGTCTCTCGGGAATTAAGAGATTTCCTGTTTAAAAAAACGAGAGAGAGAAAGTATTAAAAGTAACTCTCTGGATTTTTTTTCTCAGTAAATCATTCATGAACAGCTGGACTAGACTACATTTTCTGCTCATTTGCATTCAGACAAGCTTTAGAGAAATCATGCTAAAAGCATGCCGCTCATGCTTTGGTCATGTTTGGTCATGTATTCACATCAGCCTTAAACAAACACTTGCATTATTTTGCACTGGTGAAATTTTCATCAAAAGCAGAAGAAAGAAAGGGGTCTTGAAAATGATGAAAGTGCTGCTTAAGTGCTGTTTATTTATTGACAACTGCAGTTAAGCCCATTCGTTGTTTTATTCAAGCACTTGCAGATCAATTTCAGGACTCTTGTGCATAAGTGCAAATAAAGTTTTGCATTCCAAGGCATGCAAAGATCTTTAAGACGGAAGCCTGTAGTACTTAAAATGAAAACTCCACCTGATCTGGTTCTTCTGTTGCCGAAGGAGGTGTAGACTGAAAAGACACATCAGAATTTTAAAGTTAAAATGTCACTTGGAAAGTCAAGCAAAATACAAAGAAAGAAAAAGTAAACAATGCCCTATTTCTCATGAGCACCGAGCTGCCCGGGAATACCTTCTCTATATCATCAGAGGGTCGAGAGGGTGACTCTGTGGTTGGCAAGATAACCTAGGGAGGACAAATAAGTACACAAGTCTGAATGTAAAAAAACCCCCAGCATATTGGTAACTTTTACAACATTCTTTAAAAAAGTGACTTTTTTTGTCATTACTCTGAATGTTTGCACTAATCTGCCATTAAAATATGAAGCTAGCAGGTTTCAATGTTTTGTATTATTATAGGTAAAAGTATTGAAAGTTGCTCTGTGATGTCAGTTTCTGTTTATTGAAAGAAGATTGGATAGCTACTGTTAAACGTAATGCTAAAAATTGGGACTTTTTTCACACTATCACACATCCAGAGTACACTCAGAATATAATAACACTTTAATATGCAAACTGCAGAGGAGCTGAACACAAGCCCTTTTATCAGAAGAGCCTCAGTCAACCCTAAAATGTCCATGCAACATGCGGCTCAGGCTCTTTTGCCTATACTGACTGAACTACCTGGGTTTATTGTTTGTCCAGGGCATTCTTATATCATGTGAGCACCAGTTATCTTTTTTAGGCTTTTTTCATTATCATACGACATCAGTGGATAATGACAGTGTGGTGGGAAGGTTTGGTATGTTGGATCAGTTGTAGTAGGGAGAGGTGGGGCAGGATGGTTGAGGGTAGCAACACCAACAAGGTGGAGAAGAACACCTAGTCTGCTGATCCTTCTTTCTCCCATATAGTAGGTGCAAAGCTGGAGAAATGGTGAAGAATGTGCAGGATGAAGCACAGCAGGTAGCTATGCACTGACTGTATGCTGGCAGTCAGTGGGTGATTTCTTCTCTTTCTGCTTTATAATAAAGAACTGTGTCTGTACAATTAAAAAGCTTCCCTCTGTAATTTCATTCTTAGTGGAACCTGGCAGAGGTCCCTGGCTTGTTTTTCTTAGTTTTGTGCTTGAATGAATAAAAATAATCAAAAGATAAATACCGAAGATAGCACAACATTTGTTTCACCTGTGCATCCGTTTCTCTGTCTGAGAAGACTGTTATAGGTTGACTTAAGGTCTCGACCTGGGCAGGACTGGGTGTGAGCAATTGTTCCTTACAAATCGAAAGCAACACAAATGTGTTATTGTTCAGGTAAAACAGAAATGTTTATTACTTTTAGTTAGCTATTGTGCTACAAATGATCACCTTATCATCCACTGGATGAGGAAATTCATCTGTTTGGACTTCAAGCTGCGCATGTTAAAGAAATTGAACACATGTCACATTAAAAATGAATCATAACATTTGTACCCAGTCCAGCTGAAACAGATGAGAGAATATTTACCTGTCTGTTTTCCCCGAAGTCCCGAGGGATTAAGGGGTCAATTGTGGTAAGTTCTTCCTATTTGAAAAAAATAAATTAAAAAAATCTCGTCATAACTTTTAAACACTCAAGCCCACGGTAGATGATGTGGAGAGCGGATGAAGTGGGCTGTAATGACAAACTAATTTATTCTTAATAATTAAGATTAGGTAGTGGGTATGTCATTAATCAGATCTCTGCAGCATTTATGTGGGCGCAGATATAATTCAGTCTCCAGAGATACTGCTACAAAGAAAAAAGAAAAAAAAAAACGCAGGTGACTGGATGATGAGTTTGGCAGGGCTGTTAACAAGAAGGCGCTCACAATTCTCTAAATGAGGAACAACCCCACGTCATCAACATCACATTAAAATTAAGCTTCCAACGGTGCATCAATTACTGATTTATTATTGCTGCTGCCTACCTCGTATTCATAACTGTAATCCTCGCCGTTATAAAACTCGTCTTCTTCGTCTTGCCCGGCCTCTTCACTTGTCTTAGGATAAAAAGGAAATAGCAATTATTACAGGAAGGAATTGTTGCACAGCAGTACTTGTCACGTGTGAATAACTGGGATAACTGGAAGACATCAACGAGCAAGCAAATGTAATCTGTTAATATTACAGTGAGAAGCAGATGGACATTAGGATCAATGCATGCTTTTAGTTAAATGAGGCATATTGTGGGTGCAAAACGTGGTTCATTCAGTGTGTTTATATTTCACAATGTTTTAATTTAGGTTTATGTTTCATTAAATCTTTTTTTTATAAAGTTATGTTTGTATTTTGCAAGGTCAGACAGCCATGTTAGTTGGTGCATTTTAATTTAGTTGGGGCTGAACTGAAGTAAGGTTTCCGGGTTCATTCTGATCTGTTGTTCAAGGACATTTACCAAGCGTTGTCTCTGCCTCCTATGTCGTCCTTTATTTCCTTTGCCCTGGTTAAGAAGTTCACAATCAGAGAGAGAAAAGATGAAGGTTCCCATATTTCAGGAAATGAGTAATTAATGTTTATCAAAAATGAATAAAAATCCCATTAAATTAGGATGATTAAAAACCATTAAGTCTAGTTTTACCAAACAGTTTAGAGCTGTTTATTGTATTTATAGGACCATACCTGATGTTTTACATGTTTCAGCCCATCTGATTTATGTGTATATCCCTTTAAACACTGAACCATGAGATAATTACTAGAAAATTCAAAATTTGTGTTTTTTAACCTTGTGACAATTTTTTATAAAATTTAATGAAACAGTAATTTGCAAATATGAGTTTTAATTTGAATCATATTTGCTAGATCTGGCATTTTAAAATATGATACACTACGCATGTGATTTAAATATATATAGACACATATACACTGCCTCCCCCGCAAAACATGGATTAAACTAAGGCTCATATGATGAATGGCAAGAGTTTATTTAACCCTAACTGATGCTTGTCAAAGCAGAAGACATGATGATTTCCCATAGTTGGGGAAAAGACCTGCGTTGAGAAAGAAAACAACTAAGGAGACTGGTGAAACTTTTAAAAATAACTTAACTAACACATTATTAAAGGATAGTGGTGTGCCATCATCTTCGAGGACGTAATGCGATCAGTGAGAGAATTGGAGATCGATTGGTGAAATCAAATCATAGTCAAAGTAAGAACATTTCCTTTTGACCTTGGGTTGCTTCACTTGGTCAGATCATGGTTGTGGTTGACCACCATTGTGTGCCGAAAGAATGAACGTATCCCAGGGATATTCTAAAACGGAGGTCCAGATCACCAGGCCGAGGACTATTTTGCACTGGGCTCCAAAGAAAGAATAAATTTGTTCTCTCCAGTACTCTGGCTTCCTCCCCCCCTTCGTGACCCTGAAAGTTATAAGCGGCAGAGAATGAATGGATGGATGGATAGAGTTTCGGGTATTTTATTTTTCCAAAAAATGACACTTTCAGCCAAACCTTACTCTTGCACTTAACTCTTTTTCCATGCATCACAAAGTCTGAAAACCCAGTGACCCAAAAACAAATGTCACTGGAGAACCTCTTTGAACAGGAAGAAAGAGCCAAAGATGAGTCACTAGAGGGATCTCAGAATGCCAAACAAAAGAAAGAAAGAGACTATTAAGAATCATACTTAAATTAAGAGGTTCATTGCGAGATTCACACCCTCCACATTTGCTTGGTATAATATACAGTGACTGGCTAGCTAATGAAGTCTCACAGTCCACAGAAAAATTGTCCAGCGTTAAACTGGTCGATGGTACAAAAACGATTGGGAACCGCTGTTCTAAGATATCAGTGTCAGGAATCATCGGGCTCAGATTGTTAAAGAGCAGCTCAGGGCACATGAGACATTATTTTACACATGAACTGACCACCACAGAGTCAAGAACTTAACCCCACTGAGAATTTCTGGGATGTGCTTGGGAAGACTGAATCCAAGATCTTAGAGAAAAATAAATGCAACGCTGAACGACAATACATAACGCTGCATAAGCTTATCAAAACAATATCTTGGCAATGCTGTCATCAAAGATAATCGTGGATCCAACAAAATATTAGACTTTGCAACTTTATTTTGGCTGGGCAGTGTATACTAACCACTAGTGACAAATATATTTTAAGGGATTCTTCAAACTATAATCAATGCATATTTAAAGAACACATTATCAGTTGATAACAGAGACACAAATATCAGCTTTCAGGTATTTTTGTGGCACCTTAGACGTGACTCACATTAACTTCTTTCATGCCTTTAACTTTGTTACCATAACTTAGTGAAGCCCTTAAAATTAAAGAATACAACTCACATCATTCTCACTAAAATGTAAACGTTAAAGAATTTTCCATATTTAGATTTCCTGTTTCACTGGTGCTACAAGTGCACTTTCCCAAATCTACATTACTGTGCAGTAATATCACAACTGAGAGTCCAAATCACTTAAAATTAGCATAAACATCAAAACAGAAGCATCCATTTAGAAAAAGCTGATGTGTATGCTAAGTAGAAGAGATAAGCTAAAACATCAAACACCTGTATGGTCCTTTGGTAATATGCATTCATTGTAAACTGATGGAGAAGTATCCCATTTTCCATCTTCTATCTAAAACCCAACCCTCAATAAGACAGTTATGGTAGCTTTACTTTCCCACGTTCCCTGTTCTTCTTCTTTTGTCCTGAATTCTTCTTCAGTGAGTCCTCCTGATTGAGGAGAACAGTCTCCATTACAGATTGAGGTAATCCTGAAAACATCTGACAGACAAATCTTAACTTTAAATGCAATCTGAATATAAATAACACCAATATTTTGTAATGTAGGATTGTTTAGATTTTTAAAGTATGACATGTACATCATTAGAGTTTACAAAGCATTTTATGAAATATTATGTGAATGTTAGATATATATTAATTACTTTTATGACTTTTTTAGGAATTATTATGAAGCTTATTTGCATTTTATTTCTTTAAATAAAGGGTCTTTCTTCCATCTAAAAGTGCCTAAATATGAAATGTGACATCCTTACCTCATTGGTCATTGTATAATTGGAAGTAGAATTGACTGCAGTCAGATTAACTTTGAAGGAAGTTTCAGTACTGTCTACTGTCTCCTTTAAATTGGTCTCAATTGTGTCATGCTCTGGTTCTCCATTCAGCGTGTTGACGGTCCATAAAGTTTGATCCTCTGCAGTTTCATTTAAAGGGTCCTTCAGTGAGAGAAGTAAAAAAAAAAAACATATTAGTGACAACTGGTGATAAACTATATTAAACACAGTTTCATTTCTCCAGGATCATGGTGAAAACATTTAAAGCCATACAAGCTCAAATAAAATGCAAATGCACAAAGTATGAGATGGCTGAAAAACTCAAGATTACACAGAACCTTAAACAATAAATATCAAGGACTGTTAATAGAACAATAAGTATTCAGAACATGAGCTGTACATTGTTTGATGAAGCATGGACTCGCCACACTGACATGATAACAACACATATTGTAGGCTACAGTGAGATGATTTGAGCTTTGTTGCATGATGTGCTATCTTTCTTGAATCAGCCATCAGAAGATGGGTACATTTTAGTCATAAAGGGTCAGTAGCAATGTTGAGGTAGGCTGTGCATTTAAACAATGCTAAGTTGGTACTAAGGGCCTTAAAGTGTGCCTACAAGATATTCCCCACACCATTACACCTCCACCAACCTGAAGACACAGGATGGATCCATGCTTTTACGCAGTTTACATCAAATTTTGACCCTATCATCCGAATGTCAAAGTAGAAACATCACAGGAAAGACTCAGGCAGTGTTTTTCAAACCTCCACTTCTCCAATTGTGGTGAGTCCATGAGAATTGTAGCCTACAGTTTCCGATACTTAGCTGACAGGAGTGGTACCTGTTTCGATGTGCATTCAGAGATGCTAGTCTGCATACTTTGGTTGAAACAAGTGGTTATTTGAGTTACTGTTGCCTTCCTATCAACTCAAAGCGTGACCATTCTCCTTGGATCTCTGGCATCGACAAGCCATTTTTCATTCACAGACGTGCTGCTCGCTAGATATTTTCCTTTTTTTTTTTTGACCCTTCTCTGTAAGTCGATGGTTGTGTAGGAAATTCCCAGCAGATTATCAGTTTCTGAAATACTCAGACCAGCTCGTCTGGCATCAACAGCCATAACGCATTCAAAATCAAGCTCATGTTGAATTCAGTAGATCATCTTGAACATGCAGTGTTTTGTTGCCATACGATTGGCTGATTAGATATTTGCGTTAACGAGAAGTCGAACAGGTGTACCCACTAAAATATGTGGTAGGTTAATAGGTTCATTATTGTTCCTAAGCATTCTCTTAAGACTAGGCTGAGGTTACGTACAACCAAGATAGATTCAGGAGGCTGGCCATCTACATCAATGTCCTCAAAAGTGTCCACTTTTGACAGAGGTCTGCTGGTGACGTCAAATTTCTCCAAACTCTATCGAGAAAATATAAAATGCACAGCAGTAGTAGTCGTTTTGAAAGGTTTGAGGTATCGGAAACAAGAAATGTAAACATACAGTATACAGTCTAAAAATAACATCAGACACTTCTTTGAGTCTACGTACTGTGTAGTCAGTGATGACGTTGGAGTTGTGCCTTTCTGTGTTTTCTTTTGTTTTCTTGGAGTTGCTGAGCACATGAAGCAGCTCCTCTATGCCATCCTGCAGCAACCTGTCAATCAAAGCCTTCAGCAAAGGAAGCTGAAAAAAGCTTTTATTTAGACAACTGAACTCTACTTTTATTACACTATTGCATATTTGTACAATGTGGTGCAAAGAGCTCACTTTTATACCGTAGGCTTCAAACATTGTCTCAATGTCCTAAAGTCGAGTGAAAATATGTTGTTCAGATACTTAATAATGTAAAATGAGAACATGTATGCCACAGAAGAAATTATTATATCCTTTATTCAACCTTCATCTCAAGAGATTGTCCTGGAGCTCCAGCGTCACCCTGCAGAAACATGAAAATAAATGCAGTCGGCATAATGTAATTTCCATTCCCATGTTTCTGATGTATAACTCAAACGAGCATTACCTTTTCTCCTTTCAGGCCTCTTTCTCCTTTATCGCCCTGCAAAACAAGACAAATCAGCAACCAAGGCTATATTTCAGGGTTTTTTTAAGAACTCAGCCTCAATATAAGCACCATTACCACCTTACCTTCAATCCTGGAGAACCCTAAACACACAGAAACAGAGGAGCAGGACATTTGAACATGCATCTACAATGCATGACATCAAGCTCACCATATCTGTTCTCATTGTAGCCCACAATAAAAATAAGCACTGTAGTCATCACTGCATGATGACTTAGATTTCATGCAGGCGACAAGTGAATTATGCCATGCAACAGCAGAGATGATGTGCCATTTTTTAGAAAGCTAAACATATGCAGAAACATGTGCACACGCATCAAACTCACAGTAGGTCCTGGAGGACCCATTGGCATTGGGAATGCTTGTCGGATTTCATCAATGGTAGCACCCTGAGAAGGGATAAATGGATAGTAAGTCAAACTGTGTGAGGTTTTTCTGAACCCAGCATAAATGGTTTATGCTGAACCCAGCATAAATGAGGAATTAGTCAAACCAATGGTGATTACAGGTGTAGTCATAAACAAGTCACCAAAAATGAAGTCATTTTGCATCATGTTTACCTCAGGAGTGACAAGCACCTGCCTCCCAGGCAAACCTGGAAGCCCTGGTTCACCCTTACTACCATCTTTACCCTGCAAGAAACAAACAGCATCATCCAGTTACAGCCTCAACTTCATCACTAAGTTGTGTTTTCCTTCATAAATGTGAATACACTTACATCAGCACCCGCATCTCCCTTGTCCCCCTGAAATGAAGAGTGAAGTTAACACAAGTAAATGGAGAATAAAAGCTTCATAAATGTTTTGATTGCTGCAGCAAATCTAAGAACCTTCTTGCCGTCATCTCCTTTGAGTCCTCTTTCTCCCTGTGAAAAAAAAAGTAATTTAATCTAAAAAGAGCTAGAAAACGGCAAACAAATGTGCAAATTGGATAAAACAGTAATCCAGGTGATATCTAATAGCAAAGTGGTATAATTGTCAAATGTTTCTCACATCTTTTCCTGGCAGGCCCCTCTTCCCATCAATGCCAGGTCTCCCCTGTAGAGAAGAGGAAATGAAAAAGGAGATTGATCATTATCGTGGATAAACATGTAGCTCCTGCTAATTACACACCTGACGCAAGGATATATTTTGTTATATTGCCTTGAATGACTAAAGACTGTCACCATTAAAAGTGTATAAAAAATGGATGATAATGGTTTTGCTGGAGTGAAACTCACAGGGGTCCCCGGTAAGCCAGGCATCCCAGCAATCCCAACCCGGCCTTGATCTCCTTTCTGTTTACAAGCATAGAAAAAAAAAAGTCTCCTTTTGCAAATATCAGCAAATTAAAATGACAAATGTTATTACAAACTGGACAAATTATCACTGAGGCAGTAAAACACACCACAGCAATGCAAAATAGCTGCTGACATGCTAAAAGCTTAGGTGTCTATAAGCACACATAAAGTTGATATACGGAACATAAAGACTGAAAATCATGACTGCATCTTAGCTTTTCTTTTCATTGTTCTTTTTTGTTAAGTGAGATAATACACTGTAACTCAGTGATAACTTTTTTTATGCTAATATTAATAGGGCAGTAAACCATATACGGTAATGACAAGAATTTAAGTTCCATAAAAATTCATCCACTCACCGGACCAGGCTCTCCTTTCTGTCCCTGGTCACCCTACGGTTACCATAAGACACCTTGTGAGCAAACTCTTACATGCATACCCTATATGTACAAATATACTGGGCCACTTACACATTACGCCTACAAATGCTGCTCCGCCATGGAAACTCATGCCATGAAGCTCCTGGCACACAGTTTTTGTGCTGTTCATGCCACAGGAGGTTTGCAGTTTAGTAGTTATTGAGTCAGCTAAGTATTGGTGACCTTTAGGCACTATGCACCTTGGCACTCCATGACCCCTGCTCTGTAACTTTACATGGTCTACGTGATGTTTGCAATGATACTATTTAAAGAAATTTCCAAAATTGCCCTGCAGCAATAATGAGACCCTGCTACAGGAAAACACAGAGTTTTGTAAAGGCATGTGGCATGGCTTGGTGGCAGTGGGAATGAAAAGATCTCATTTCAGAGATGAAGATCTGTGGCCCAATACTTTTTGTCAATATAGTGCACGTGATGGCATTTACATGGAAATTTTCAAAATATTTGAATGTGCAATTTCAATAAAACAATTTAATACTGTGCATTTTTATAACCTTCATTCCTGGTTTTCCTGGTAAGCCATCTAATCCATCTCTTCCAGAATCACCCTGCAAGGCAAACAGATACATTAAACACATCTTTGTAATTAAAAAAAAAACAAAAAACAGAACCACAGTAAGTGCAATTTCGAATTATGCACATGCATACCGGAGACTGTCCTGGTAATCCAGGTTTCCCCTCTGGACCCTGGACAGACACATTACGATGTTTCAAGACATTCAAGAAAAATATATTACTTTTGATTTAAAAAAAAGAAATAGATAAGAATAG